CGTACAATTTGCGTGGGGGGAGGGGTCAAGTTTCGGTACGAATGCAGGGGGAGCATTCTTGGAAATCCCCACCCCTCACCTTCTTCGCTTACCTTACAGGATCCATTGCTAGTCACTGGAAATAATCAATGCCAGAATAAGGTCTGCTTTTGCGCAAATGTACAGATTCAATTGTGCCTCTTTTTAGGCTCCGTAAGGTTGTTAGCTCCCCCCTCCCCAGTGTCTATCAAACGAGCGTGGCCCCAGGCAACACTGTTTGAAACACCGTCCAGCCCTTCGGGAATTCGTCTCTACGAGTTCCTTCCGAATATCATTTAGGGAAGCGCGAGGTTTGTCCACTGTATTCAGCATCTTCCAGTTGCATATCTCACTGTTTGCTTCTTCGGTCCAACGCCATCGAAAGCCCCTCGCATATTTCGAACTGCCTCCGTCCAAATCGGAATCCGACCGCTGCCAGCAGTTAGAAGTCGCGCCTTCTCCATATAAGCAATTACAACTGATATTTGTCCAGAAATATTGACTTCAAAGTTTCGCATTGATTTCTATGGAAATTTAAACGCTTGACATTGATACTACATTTGTCTACGTAGACTTATTTCAGTCTTATTTAATAATTTACTTAGTTCTTCTCTGTTCTATGCTATATCAATTCAGACGATAGACCATTTCACAAATTGAAACGAGAGTGCGAGCCCCAGGTTCTTGTTGCAAAGAAGTATGCTACTTATTATATTCCAGTCCGATAGTCATTATTCTAGTCTATGCTAATATTCTTAAACTAATTAAACTACCAAAATTTCCACATTTCCAAATCCACTTTTTATGCTAATTAACTACGATTATCTCTTACGACACTTTCGGTAACGATGTTGGACTCTTGGAAGAACTGAGGGCCAAGTTTGGCAAGATGTCTTCTCTTTAAGCACTGGCGACATTTCCTAAGGGAGGCATTCAGGAGGACGTGTTGGAACCCGGTTAATAAATTACTTAGCTGGGTTGAAAACTGGCTACAGAAAGCCGGCATGGCTGGAACTCCATTCAATTGTTTGTTTAGACTGGACGTTTTTTACTTCTACTCTCTATGATAAGTACATACTGCACGTTGCAGCACATGTTTTCTTTAGCCGGATTTGTGTACTAAATAAGTTATAATTATTTTATACCGATCCATTCAGAAAAACTGCGTGACCGGAAGTTATCGGCATTGCCAAGATGGCTCG